ATTTGTTTCTCCAAAGTACCCAGACTAATACAGAGTGTAAACTGCGGAAGGTCAGTCGGAAGATGACTGGAAGAAAGAGAACAAGAAGTATTATCAAAGCTGCAACAAAAATTGATAACCAGGACTTTCTTGTAACATATGCAGTTATATTTCTAAGAAAGATTTGGCCACTTCTGAAGCCGGTAGTACAGAGCTTCCAGAGTGACTGATGGCTGTTACACTGGTGTGTAAAGAGGCTAAATCTAAAGAAATGTCTGAATGGTTCCATACTCCCAAAACATGATTCTTAACCGTTTCCCATGGGACTTCTGATTCATTGTAAAGTAAAGGAGTGACACAGACCCATTTAACCTGCGAGTGACATCGAATCATCATTCTAGTTTGTAGAGCCTGAATCTGATCATCCATCCACACTACTGCCTCTTCTAAGGCACTAACTCGTGTGTCAAGTTTTTGATCAATTTTTGCTTGTGTCATTAAGGCTATGGTAACATTTTTGGTGAATTCACCAACATGTTCAGTATGTACTTCTTGGATCAAAGCTAAAGCAGAGGCAGTCAAGGAACCTATAATAGCAAAGAATGCTGCAATACCTAAAATTAAAGAGGCAACAAATCTTCTTTTTCTTTGCAAAATATTTGACATTAACTGTAAGGCATGTAGTCCCATATATACCAAGGAGTATCCAGTTTTAAAGGCAACATAACATAAGGGGGTTGTTGAACAATGACAAAAGAAGTTATATTCAAACGAGAATAAATACAATTGGTTAAAACACAATTTTTACAATGAGTAACAAATACCCCATTGTTTTCAAATATTTCTAATGTGCCAAAATCACCAGAATATAGAACAGCAAAGGGGGAGCGCATGCAAGCTTGAAGGGCTCTGTATCTGTATTCTTTTTGGGGTCTTTCTAGACCAGCAGTTTGGGTAGCCGTAAAGATTCTCCACAAAGATGTTTGAACTACTGGACTATTGGTACCGGAAAAGGTCACAATAGGAGTAACCCAGCCTGGGGTAAACCATCTGGCCAAAGGTTCAGGAGTGGGCAAATCAGCATCAGACCAATTAAATCTTGTACTCAGTTTGACTAAGTCACGGTAAGCGTCAGTGGGAGATGTAATGGAATAATCACATACATACAAATCTGTACCATTCAAAGGATGCTTTACTCCTTTTCTGTCTGATGTGGCTCCCACAATGACACAATCATGCCATTTTGGAAATCCTGTTTTCCTATTGACAGCAAACCAGCTATCATCGGCTTCTGGATAAGGGTCATACAGGAATTTGATCAGGAGGTAAAATAGAAGTAGTAATGAATGTAAAATCTGGAAACGGAATTATAAGTGCTAACATCCAAAGATGCTTCTGCTGCTTGGCTCTA